TGTGTCTCTATGTAGTATATATGAATTTAGTTTCGTATCACGCATGCGTATAACACACCGTATACGTTGTGTAGATGTTATAATATTCGTAATATGCAAAAGCGTATATATCCGAATACTCGTGTCTATCTTGGATAACTAGGCACACTAAACGTTGTCTACTGTTATGTAGGAAATCTCTATTTAGCAGAGGTGTTGGTACGACAACTAAACGTGAAATCAAATGTACACGTAACAATAGAAACGAACGAAAGAATAATGTGAAAATACAGATTTTCTGACTTCAAAATACTTTGAAGATTTTAATTCTCTAATACGATTATACAATCGAACAAAGATAAATTGAAAGTTATTCGTTCTGTTTTCAGAGAACAAACATTTACTAATAATGATTAGCTTATGTAAAGTACTGATTTATTACAATCGAATAAAAGTCTACCGACATAAATTCTCTAGGACACTTAATATTATGTCATAATATTTTACTTACACAAGTAAGCGCAATAATGGTTCTCCTCTAAAACTACTCAGATAAATATATTACAATGCTACGGATCGCTAAACGATCAGTAATGTATTTGAATTTTTTATACCGTTTCAACTACAAGAGTTTCGAATCTTTTCTCAAATTTGTTTGTTGACCGAACTTGTTGTACCATTTCTTGTTGGGTAATTTTTACATATTATAGAAAGAGGTTTCTTACATAATGAACACATTTCTTTCAGAAATGGAATATAGTCGAGTTCAATGAACACACGAAACGCATCGACTATGGTAGGAAGAGATTCCAATTGTCAGAATCCGTTTATACTTGCGAGAATAGTAAATGTATGTATACGTATGTACGTGTATATGTATGAATGTATGTGTGTATAGGTATGAATGCATGTACACGTGTGTATGTGCGACGCACGTTGCGCGCTCGTACCTATGTAAACAAGTAAGTAAGTAAGTAAGTAAGTAAGTAAGTAAGTAAGTAAGTATATATGTGGTACGTATTTATATACACATCGTCTTTACTTCCATTTCTGATGTATTTTTATAAAATGAAATTTAATTATAGCATCGTTCATCAGAACTTTACGTTCTTTTGCACACGGTTCTTTGAAGATTTCTGGCTATTACAATATCGCCGTTTCTCTTCAATGTAAACTGAAAGAATCAATCGTTTGTTATAAAATCAAAGAGAATCAATCATCTTATATACCGGCTGAGGCACATTGATTTTGAAAGAACAATTCTAATACATAATTAAAACTTATCGAATGACTGGTGCAAACAATCGTCCGAAGTCTACGTTAATTTACATTGTTGACATTCAATACACGTTGTAGACTTTGTAGATTTACATTAATGCGCATGTTTGTATGCATACATGTATGTGTTCTGCTTTATAATGCCAGAAACATATCGAGAGAGGCAATTAAACAACATTAAAGTCCTTAAAGCTGAATTCCACGATGTAGGTAGTAGAGATGTATTTTCAATATCACTTTGAAAATATTTTCATATGGTAGAGTCCATTGTTTCGTTTTTCTTAATAATTGCGATTCAGACCAAAATTCAAATGCTCGTCTCTCACTTTTAGTCTTAAATAACAATATTTGTTCACCGATACTGTCGTATGTGTTTCTTGTACAATTCTGGGACATTATACAAATATGAAAATTGTAATTATTGTAGAATAATTATACAATAAAGGATTATCTGCAAAACATTACACGCTTTGTTTCTCTCGTACTATTGTTACTATTGTATCGTTTCATTTTGCATTTAAATACCCCAATAAAGCACCGATTCACATAATTGTGTGTCGGTGTCAATGATGCTTTTAATTGATAGTATTTATTACGGAGTAGTAGAATACAGATTGTCAATGGTTCAAATATTTATGTGCATTTCAAGGAAATTCAGTTTTCTTTTTCAATCAGAGGTCCATGGATAAGTTTGTCACGTGCTTATCGAACTTATCAAATACTGAAATTCAAAACAGTTTCAAGTTGAATCGCTGTTCGCTTTGTGGGCTCTGTTACGAAATTTCAAAATCATAACAGCTTACATCGCGCTTGATAAAAATATTCAAGTATTACCATCCATGTAATCTCGCGTACGTAAACGTCGATGCTGGTATTGGCAAATAATGTTTCACCACGGCACACTGAGATGTTCGAAAGTCAATCGTAGTAATGTACATTCTATGCGCAAAGAAAAACGCGAAAACAATGTTTGCAAACTGTAGTTTGCATGCAAAATTATATACTGTTTCAATAGAATTTTCATTTCAGAATGAACAGATAAAAGATTTTGTCGATACTACCGTTATGAGACTCGTCGTACTTACATCATGTATAATCGTACGTTTTGCAGCTAATACATTGTTAAAATTCTGATGGAGCAATTAAGGGAGTCCACGTGAAGCATCGCATAACGTTGTGAAACTAGATACACGAATAAATAAATAAATAAACAAACAAGCAAACAAGCAAACAGACGGACAAACAAACAAACAAACGAACAAACAAGACAAACAAAACAAACGAAACAAACGAAACAAACGAAACAAACGAAACAAACGAAACAAACGAAACAAACGAAACAAACAAAACAAACAAATCAATTAATTAATCAGGAATCATATTCTTCGAACATTTTATAACGAGAGGCGTTGTTTCACCTCAGTTCATACAAAAACCTTTCATAATTGATAAACATAACTTATGCTCGGATAATTAAATGCTACCGATGCAATAACTAAACATCGAAATTACTACGGTTAAGATTACGCAAGTGGAATGTTTATATGTATGTATATCTTCTTTACGTCCAACACAATGAAATGGTCTGTAATTGCAATTCGTAAATATGAAACCGTTCATTCAATGCACGCGCGCACAGCATGTACCAAAAGTGTGTATTATTATACAATCTTAAAACGAATATAATTTTCCTTGAACGGAATATTACTTCGCTAAGACTAAAAACGTTTAGTTTTATAACAATTTTGTTTCGAGTCGGCAAACATTTTTACGATAGATCGTGCGATGAAACAATTCAACGAATAAATGAGACGTTTCTCATCTGCATTTCACTTGTTCGTAGAAAATCTGAAAAGAAACATGCCATGGTAATGGTGTTAGATATAAAAAGCGAAAGGTACGAATTTCCTGAGTTCAAACGTGATATACCATGTGTTCTCGCGCGCGTATACATACCTAGACAGTTCACAAATGCATACATAGTACACACGTTCGCTCGCACACACGTACACGCACGTATATATAAGAACAGAATGGTAATGAACAATGTTCTGTACAATAGTTGGAAAAAAATGTAATATGTACGTATATGTAATATGTATTAAAATTGATGAAAAATCTGAGATTTTTCAAACGAATGGAATCATTTGAAATGTTAAATATTATATACGTCGCAAAGACGTACCATTAACACAACGTTATAGAACAAGTTCGGTGACCTAAATTTAACAGCGATGGAAAGTCGTCATACTTACGCAATTTAATATGACCTTATAATTTTCACTGATATGTATATCTTGTGAATATTTTAGAACGTGCACATTTCGTAAACTGAACAGAGCATTAAACAATTGCAAACCATCAATTGCAATTATTTCAGATTTAAGGAGAAATCTATGAATCATTAACACACATTATCAACCAATCCAAAATGATATTTTCCGATATTATGGTGGACGTAATTGTATGCATAAGATGTATAAGTAAAATATAGCTGTCGACGACATAGAAATTCAAATATATCACACTGATAGGGCAGCCGATATAAATATATAACGATAGAAATATGTAATCACGATGAGAAGTTCAAATTGGCACCTGATTTGTGTTACTGATAATGTTGCATTTAGAATTTCACGTGAATGATTTTCGCAAAAGGCAACGGTATACTTGAAAAATGAACCGAACGTTAATGCACTAGTTGTTTATAGCATCATGTATTTACAGAGCATAAATCAGCCTACTCTTTTCATATCGGTATGTTATTTGGTTACTAGAAATATGCGAGTATTCTTTATGATAAGAAATATAAAAAAGAATCTCTTGTGAAAACGAGGTGAATGGAGATGAAGCGATAATGATAGATATTAAGATTTCACATGTTTTCGGTGAAATGTGATTCGTAACGAATGATATACGTGAAACAAAGTTGAAATAGCCTTGGAAACGTTAGGAAATTATGTTCTTTTGAAATATTCGTTATTTCGAGCATATAAAAAACATAAGCGAAGAGAGCGAATAACAGAGTTTGCTCTTGTAGCAGAATCAGATGAAAAGCAAAGAAGAAACAGAAAAGATCAGATGTGGAAACAGAAGTGTGTAACTAATTTAACTTTGGTGATACTACTTTGGTGATACTAAGATTCTATTTACAATAATGTGATAGAGTTTCTCGCAATTGAATGAATCATAAATTTGTTCTTTCGTCGTAATACTAAAGTTGAATAATGGTAATGCATCATAAATCATCTTAATACCTACGCGAGACGTGAGAATTGTAAAGCATACTCTCGCGATTATTAATTTTCATCCGATGATTCTGTAGAACTTTGTGGCATGGTGCTGAACCAATTTTCTCGAACTCCGGTACTTCTGAGCAAAAAAGAATATTAAAAGACATTAAATACATTAAGACGCAACTAATCGTTTCTAATGACAGTTTGGGGAAAGGGAATAGTTGGAAGAAGGTGAGAAAGAACTATTTGGTAGAGTTTTATAGAAAGTGGGAAAAGTAACATCTAGATTTCGATAAAAGAGTATACCTGGCTCGCTGACGAGTACTTATGGGCAGTGTAAGTGAAGTTCTGTAATATTGAGGAGTAGTACTCGACGTTGTTTCGTCTGGTCTTCTGTGCAACGTCATCGTTTCATGCGGAGATGTAATCAATTCAATCTCGTTGTCCAAATAGTAACGAGAACCTGTCGCACTTTTGCAATTTTCACATTCGCTTCTGTAGTCGTCGGTATCATCGTGAAGAGTGGGAAGGGCTTGCATGCTACACGTGCATGCCACAGATTCGAAACTTCCTTCGTCGTTCATTTCATTGGCCACGTTCAGCGGTGGCTGAAATGTATTCAAACTATTATGTAATATACATTTGACGGACCGCATATATTTGTAGATGTACATATTGTAGATGTATTCGTTAGGATACCTTGTAGGTATGAGTCTCGTCGGGTCGGTGATCCGACTGGTGTGTTTCGTTCTGTTGTTGTCTCGACGAAGAAGGAGTAGAAGAGGGTTGTAGTTGTACCTCTTGATAAAATGTAGTTGCATTTCTGTTTTCTTTGTCGGTCAATACATCTTGTTGCGCAATCAATGATGATAAATTTGACGAATCGCTGGTCGGCGAGGGTCGAAGCAATTCATTCTTGGAATAATCGTTTATGATACCATGCAATTTGGTAGCGGTACGAGTGGAGGTTAAAGTCCTAGGAATTGTACGATGAGAAGTTATATTAGAATTGGACAAAGTCGCGGATATTGTAAATGCTCCTGCCGTTTGACGAGGAAGAGTAGTATGCGTCTGATAATTTTTCGAAACGGAGGTTTGCAAGTTTGACACGGGTTGTACAGTTACATCGGAATGCTGATTGGCAAAGTTTGGAATTCCGATGGTGGTCGGTAAGTTCTCGTAAGTATTCGTCCCCATGGTAAAATTCGTAGTGGATGTTCCTACACTGATACCTTGAGATGTTTCATTTTGATTGGATTGGCGATAGCTAGAATATATATTTGGATTTGAAATTGGTCTATTGGGCGTGGATGTTAAGCCACTTGAATCTGCAATACTATTGTCGCATATCAGCGTGGACGTATTGCCATTTATGCCGCTTTGCGTGCTTCCTACAAGCGATATATTAGTACGATTAGTGACATCGGTCAAATAACTGTTTGGAAAATTAAGTTGCGGAAGCGCTTGAGGGTTCATGGATAGAAGGGCCTGTTCCGCTCTCGCCGCTGCGACAGCTTCTTCGTAAGGCGGTGGAGCTTCTCCGCGCGGAAAATAATTGCTGGGTGGCTTCCATAACGGATAATTAGCCCCACATGGAATGTCATCCATAGGAACGCCGTACGATAATCCGTCTCGTTCCAAGTATCCCATACTACCTAAATTTCTTTGGTCCTCTGCCAATTGTCTGTTCTGTCTTCCTGCCACGCAAACTTTTACAAGATAATAAGCATCTCTGTTGTATGGTAGTAAGAAAGAAACGAGTAATATATATCGACTAATAATAAGGTAATATACCTCTTATTTTTCTTTGGCGTAAGCGATGTATTAAAAAAAATAATAGGCTCAGTGACAACACAGCCGTTACAAAACTAGCAACAGATCTCAGCCCTATATCGTAATTTGCAGTAGTATCGGTCGCATTGTTGCCAATTCCATCGGTTTTGTAATTTAATAGAGACGATAAGGTATCATCCAGGCAAATATACTGGCAACAACTATCTCCACGTAGGAAAGATTTACAATCTTCCTGTCCAAGGTAAAAGAATTTGTTAGTAATATGTTGTCTAGCACGAAAGCGAAGTAAAGATTTTGCTTGTATAATAATAAAGCGTACCTCTGGGAATTTGGTGCAAACGAATGCTCTACAAAGTTTCGGATTGCCATTATCGCAAACACACAACGTACAAGGATTCGAGCCAAGAATGTAGGATACCCCAGTTTCGTAAGATCGTCCTTGATGATCTTTGCAGGAGACACCGTTCTCCGCACGAGTGACTATAAAACAGTTGAAAGAGAAATGAATACACGAGCCATAGGCAGACGGTATATATTCTTTGTACCGTGCGCGTAACGGACATTGTTGAATCGCTAGAGAAATCTGCAGCAATTCTATGCACAACGAGTAAAAGGAAATAGTAGACGTGTGCCTGCTCGCTTGGTGCGTGTTTGGTGCGTGCGTGCGTATGGTGTTGGGCGCGCGCGCGCAATCGCGCTAAACGAACGACCAGGTGAGCGGCAGCGATACATGCGTCATATACACATTACGTCAATCACTTGGTCCAGCTAGCGAGTTTTTCGTGAAAAATTCACAATTGACGCGAACATGCAAACCCGTGGAATACCCGTACGAAAAATGCAGCCACCAGCTGCGAATCTAATGCATGATATTTGACATTCTCAAAGGATGAACGAGCTGTTGATAAACGATAGGCGCAACGGTATTTCTCGACGCGGAGAATGCAAGCAGACAAGAGGAAACACGAATAAAGGGCGAAGATGGAGAAGAATATTTTCAGTGGGCAACTTACCAGTAACAAATAGAATAAACGCGGAGACTGCATAACCGAGAAGGTTACTGCCGCTGTATCTCATTCTGCGTTCGTTATCTCATCATAATCGTGACCATTTGGCGTTTGGTGTGAGAAGAGGGCGAGTATAAAGATACCCCGAGGGATTTCAAACGGTGTGCTGTTCGGTCGGTTCGTCGTGGTTTTTCGACATTTTTTCCGATAGAGTGTCAGCCAGCATCTCGCACCAACACACCTGTATCACGGGTTGCTTATGCAGGAGCAACAGTTATTTTCGCACACCTGCATATCTTCGAAACTCTTCTTTCGCTCGCAAGTGTCCTCGCACAGTATGCGTCCTCTCAAATAGGCACACCAACTTTCACCTACTTGCACTTACTTGCACCTACTTGCACCTACTTGCACCTACTTGCACCTACTTGCACCGACTCCCGACACCCGACACCCGGGATGATCGATTAGTAAACGGAGCAGCTATCGGTGTCGAGCACCGATACCGACGCCACCGCCATCTTCGAGCGTTGTTCCAAGTCTTGTTCCGCGGAAGCTCTCCGCGTGAAGAAATTAACCCGTCTCGTTCGCGGTGGTTTTCATCCGCGGTTCCCTTTGACTCGTCGCGATTCAGGTTATCGGCTACCGACCGTTAACCGTGTTCGTTTCAACTCGGTCGCGACGCCGCGGTTTCGCCACTCCACTATTCTATTTATCGTGTTCGTCTCTTTGTGGTTTCCATCGCTTCGAAACGTGTGCCTCTAAGGGATGATTAGTAAACGAATTTCTGATCTCGTATTTATAATTTATAATTTATAATATATAGTTCATAATTTCTAATTTCGTATTTCGTATTTCGTTGTCCTGTTCCTCGGCGATTGTTCGCCATGCATATGTTGCTTGGTCGGTAACGAAATTTCCGTCTTCTTTCACGAAGAAACAAAAATGTGTAAGTATAATATAAACACGGATGAAAAACAATGCGACGACATTCGTATTCCTCTAACCTGACATGCACTATCCGTCGTAAGGCAACGATTTAAATTCAAAACCGCCGGCAAAATGTAATGAAAATTTTCAAGTCACACATCACCTTTGTAGTTTGCAGTTTCTACCCTGAGAATAAAAAAGGAAAAAACAGAAGGAGAAAAAGAGGGAGGAGAAAAAAAATCGAAAAGTCAACTGATAAAACGGGATTTCGGGATCGCTGAAAGGTACTAACCTGTTAAAACACGGATGAATTGAAACGATTAAAATGGTTTGTTGATTTCGAGGAAACGCAGGCGGAAGACACAACGTTTATGGAAAAGAACGACGATTCACCGGAAGACGTTAAACGGGCTACGTCCGTTGAGCGTGAAATAAAAAGGGGGGAAAAGGATGATACCTTCGAAGGATACCCGCGCCAGGAAAAGAAGAAAAGATGGGAACACTGCGATAAGACACCTTCGAAGAGATCCAAGGCAAATTGAAATCTTCTTGTTACTTAACATTTTTCTTCTTTCTTCTGCCTTCTTTGTTGTTGTTTCTTTGCCTGCTCGTTCGAAAGAAAAATCAGAGTATTGGCACAGCATTGTACACGGGTTTATGAAATATATTTTTAGCGGCAGAAAAGCAAATTGAACGGAGACTGTTGCGAGACACGCAAGAGTCTAAAGAAAAAGGCGAAGAAATTCACAAAGGTTTCGGTGTTTGGCGAACCGTGTACGTTTCCAAAGCTAAACATAATACCTAGACATTGCTTGACGAAACAAGACCACATTAATATATTGGCGACGGAGAGGTGATACATAGAACCTAATGCGATAAAAATGTTGAAAAGAGTAGTAGCGCCTCGCGAAACGAATCATTTGCTTCGAAATGTTTCTCCCTAGTCGCAAGTGTCCGGCCGATTGCCAAAAGAGAATTGTACTCCGGAGGTTAAGACCCGTGTCGCAACGAACCAAGGAATTGGCTCAACCGCCGAGGCGACGAATGTTGATAAGTTTACAAGAAGGCGCGGCTGTGTTGCCACCAGCACTTTTGGACAATCTCGTGCGAACCTTGGAGAATGAAACATGCCTGACTCCGGAGTAACGTGTCACGTTGAAAATAACGTTTACTTGCTGTTATTCTCTCTCGCGTCACTCGTTCGATTGCCATTTCATTCGGATCGATCGCTATTTCAGCGTGTTTAACATATTTGTGAAAGTTTCGAGACCCCGAAGCGACACATTCGAAAGTGTAGACACTTTTCTTAAACCTACTTTCTCAACAGCCTCTTCGAATTCCTTGACATTGAAATTATTTCTCTACCGAATACCATTACCTTCCCAATCAAAGTTAAAATGTTCATGTTTTCAGGCAAGCGGCGATTGTTTCGCGAAAGAAAAAATTTGCAAAGAAGAAGAGGGGTAAACAAGATACGTCGAGGCAAAAAGAAGCGAGTAGATTAAATAAACCAAACATGGGTTCTGCGATCGCCGGATCGTTTGATAAAGATTCGGTGTTTTGTCAATATTCGATAGCCGAGCGTTTCGTGAAAAGTATATTAAAGTGGAAATGTCCAATTCCCAAGGCGGAATTCAACGACATCTCGAAAGTGATCGTTGAACGTTTGGTTCATGTTCTCGACTGCACTTGTCCGCAGAACGAAGACCGTAAATCCCAGCAATTGCGCTTCTTAGCTGACACTATAGCCTGTTGGATATCCGGAGTGTTATCGGACGTTGCGAAACATCAGGAGAAGAATCTCGAAGAGATATGTAAAAAGAAAGAAACAGAATGGGCAGCGGCGGAAGGGGAGGAAGAGGAACTGGAAGAGGATCAGGAAGAGGAACAGGAAGAGGAAGAGG